ATTCTCAACCTGTGTGAGGAGCCCATACTGCTCCTGACACATCCTGCCACTGGCCCCGGCTCAACCTCGCTCCATCTCGCAGGGAGGGATGCTTTCTCACCACGGGTCCTGTGTCTGGTGCTGCTAGGAGACCCCAAGAGCGGCCCTTTCCTCCCACCTGACATACAGGGGTGGGAGCTCTTCCTCTCCAATGCTCCCGCTGCTAAAGGGAACCCAAAACCTGGACTCCGAGGGAGAGAGAAGAAAGCCGTTCGGGTGGCCTGGGGAATGGCACGTTATAGGCCCAAACGCTCACCCAGCATCTCTCCCAGCTCCAGAGTTAGCCCAATAAAGACTGTTACCAAACAAATCCTGCTTCTTCTGAGTTTTGGCAGCTGTCAGAGTTAATCGTGCAGTGATTCTCACTTTCTTATTTCTCACAAAAGGTTCAGGAGACCAAACTGACTGGGCTGCACCGGAGACGCAAGGGAGAGGCCGCCGTTCGGGTGCCTTGTGCTGCCGGAGCTACTCCAAGGGAGAGAGCTCAGTCTCGCGTTTTAATGTTTTATGTACACTTCTCTTGCTTACAACTAGGCCAGTCACATATTCCAGATAGCTGCTAACACCCTGACCGTCACCACCCCCACCTAGTCCCTCATTTCATTTTAAACCAAGCACTTGAGAAGCTCAGCAGGCTTAGACCCACCTCACGGTAACCAGGTCCTGGTGCATAGCACTCGCTGCCGTTACACACAGCAAAGACAAGGCTCTTGGCTGGCACTGGGCTCCTTCCTGATCAGCAAAGTCACCGGTTTTTGGTCATCTGCATGACATTTTTGACACTTTCCGGCAGGAATTTTATTCCTGTCGGCAACAAGGGAGTCACAGACTGGGCGTGCACCGCACATCTGCCCAGCTGCATACAGCCAACGGGGAGGCGCATGGCATCCAATGCCCCGAAACAAAGTCAGTATCGATGGTTTTATATGTAGATGGTTTGATGTTTCCTTGCTGCTTTCATCTCAACAGCATGACAGAAATGTGAGAGGCCACAGTGAGAGGTCAAGAGAACAGCAGGGGTGGAGATGGGCTTTGCTGCTAGGGAGCTGAGCTAGGCTGGTTTGGGACGGGGACTCCTAAGAGGCAACGTGGGAGAGGTCTCAAAACGGACTTGGTCACCAGTGAGAAACCACACGCGCCGCTTCCCAGAGCACTGGACAGGGCAGGCACCAACCACCGCGCAAAGGCAGAGATGTGCTCTTCAGACTCAACCTGGCCTTCACTGGTGTCTGTGGCCAAGTTCCCACTGAAGTCCATGACAGACTCCCATTGCCTGGGGAGGCAAGGGTATGTAACAGCACGAGGCAATCAACGGGCGGTCAAAATGGCTTTCAGCAGCAAGGCAGCACCTCCAGCAGCGACCTGTGCTGTATGTCAGTGGGAACTGGAGGGCAGGTGTGTGCTGGGGCCTGGGGACTACACCGGGCCTGGGCCCCCCGTTCCCAGATGCCACTGCCGAGCCCTTCCCACCCCCCAGGGCTGAAAGGCTCCTACAGGCTTTGGCCATGATCCGCTTTCCTAAACTGTCTTCCATCACTTTGTCAGGTACTTAGAAAAATGAACATTAAAAATGGGGAAAAAACACCCTCCACTATTCAAACATCTTTAGCTTTGATAAATAAGGCGTCTGGCTGTGAAGGCAAAAGGAAATTAATTTGGAATCACATTTTAAACACTGCCATAAAGGCAAAGTATCTCCTCTTTAATTTTTTTTCCCCAACCAAAAATGAATTTCCTTGATATTTATAGAAAGATTATTAGGGCCACAAGGAGTGATTTATATCGTCTCATCCCAGTGACGGAGAATGAAAAATTACTGGGGCAACAGCCACTGGAGTCTTGCTCTTGTCCGCCTGACAATTAAAACGGCTAATTTCCAATTCCGACAGATCCACTCGGGTTATAAATCTTTCCAGAAAGGCACTTTTCACGATGAAAAATGAATTCAGTACCGATCAAGCACAAGAAGCGTAGGTCCAGAGATTTGTATCTGTTTGCTTTCGTGTGTAAATATATACTCTGGCTACACACCCACCCGCCGCAGCAGACGCCGGTACTGGCTTGAACGAGCACCTGATCGACGAACTTACTGCCCATACTTTCACGATGAGGGGGGGTGAGCAAGGAGGTGGACTTTGATCCCTCTATTTGGGAGGTCGTCAGGGTGCGCCATCACATTTCAGACTCAAATAGCCTTTGGAGCCATGTTCTGCACGTCTACATCTTTGTCATAAACTGTCTCCGTCTCGCCAGCTAAATATTAACTTGGGTGTTCATCCAGAGGGCAATAAATGAAGTGATGGCAGGGTTTCCTTTCTGGGAGCCCCATGCAGAGGGTTTGCATGGGGTTATCATTTCTCACAAGACAACCGGACTAACACGTCATTATAATGCAGTAGGAGCTGCTGAGCAGCTCGGGCCTCCTACGACTACGGTTTGCACTGACGCACCGCCACGTCTAACCTGATCACAGAGTTTCTGGGGCTAGCGGGAAGACGCTGACGTTTCTACGGTGAGAGAGATCCCAAGTCAGAGGTTGGGGGAAGAGTCCAGGAGAAGGAAGGCTGCAAGGGCTGGACAGGGAAACAACCACGACATCCCCTTCAGCAGATGAGCGATTGCTGCTGTGGACCAAGTGCTCCTCGTACAGCTGCCGAGGTCTGGAGTAAAGCGCTCTGACCAGATGTGCGGTCCTGGACAGCCATAAGGACCGCTGGCTGTGCGGACGTAGGGAGTGGGGACAGACTCTCCTACCTCTGCCAAGTTTGGGAGTCTTTGCTGGTCCCTGCAGGCTGGGCCTTGCTTCAAGGACCGCACGCCCACGTACGGACCTGACACTGGAGCTGCGCTGCCTGCTTTCAGTTTGGACCGCTGAGTTATTTTGAGAACAACAGAGACAAAAGCGACCTTCTGACTGCTGCAGCGTTTTCCACACCAGGTTTGGCTCCAGGCCCTCTGTGGAGCTCTTTGCTAAAGGCAG